CAAACCTGTATTCCGTTTTAGCCCGAACTACGTTAGCTCTGATCTCTCAAGCCTGTTAAGAGTATGTAGGCACAAGATGTGATATCTTGGCGAGCAACCTACCCCCATCACCCGTAGTTAGCCGAACTACGTTGACTCTGACTTTCCCATTGCACAAAGGGAATACGTAGGCCCAGAGCAGCGACGCTCTGTCGAGTCACCTTTCTTCTCTTTTCTTTCAAACCAGACTTTTAGCGTAGATAGATAAACAACCCGTTAGATAAACACAACAAGCATGGATCCCATCGAGTACGATGGACGAGAGGGGTGCTAATACCTTCCCCTTGCGTAACCGACTCCCGAATCCAGAGATTTGGTTGCGATGACCGATCTTATCCCGTTTCACGAGGTTTTTCCTGATCGTTTCCTTTCCTTCCTGTGGGATAAATAACGAAAGGTGACGACTCTTCTGTTTTGCCGGCACCTTATTTTCGCAGTAGCGACACCATGCCATATGTTATATTGGTGACCTTGCACTCAAAACACAAATGCTCCAAAGTTTCCATACGGGGACAAAAACTACATAAACCATAAGTTATAATGTCAATCTTAGTCAATCTATCTTTTGTTGCTAACCTGTTTTGGAGAGCAAACCATAAGTTGAAAGTAGCTCGAGGACTGACATAGTTTGTATATAATAACATTTTCCAATCAACTTGTTCTCTTTCTCCATGCAAAGCTTGATACATGTTGGATGTGATGTAATTTCCTTGCTGAATTACAACTTTTTAGTAGTAAATCTGAATGGTTTTGCCTTGCATTTTAGGGTTTTCTTAAAGATCCAAGAGCAAGTGGTGACTAGTTTCCACCTCATGACATCTTGCCTCTTAAGATAATAAGCATTAATCTACTTAATCCAAATATTGTCTGCTTTAGCTTGAAGGTTCCATAATATTTTAGTTATGGCTGCTTGGTTCCACTCCTGTAAAGAGATGATGTTCAGCCCTCCAAGTAAGCTACTCACAAAACAATTAAACTTCTCCCACTAAGAGCTTTAGTGTGAGTATCTTAAGTGGGTATACTAAGATATTTTTTGTGGGTCCAAAGTGATTTGTAGGATTTAAAAATTTTATAGTTGATTTGAGTTGTTTTTACTTTAATGATAATTGCTTATAAAAAACTAAAACTTGATCTTATATTCTATATTTTTTAATTGTAATTATTTTTTTAAATAATATAAATAATAATATTATATATTTCAAAATAAATAACATACACTAGTTATATAATTGCCACAAACTAAAAGTTAGTGAATTAAATGTCATGTCATAACCATTCCAATACAAATTTTTTATAATCATCGTTAACTATAAAAAATTTAACTATTAAAAATATTAAAGATGCTCTAATAAATTAGATCCACAATAATTGATGTACTATTTCATCGTTCACTCTATATATATAGGATTGACTTTTAGTGAGAAACAAAATTGTTTGTTACCACAATTTACAATTCTACGTTGGTAATCAACTTCCATACTTAGTTCTTGAAGCTAAATAATTAGACAAGTAAGAATAATATTTTGATAGAAAATTAAAAATATATTGATTATTTATATTTATTAAAATAAAGTTTAATTTATCATATTTAAAACTAAACGTAATAACAAAAAACATTATTATAATATAAATTAGCAATTTTTCAATTTTAAAATCTGTAATTTTATATTTAAATTTAATGTTATTATTAAGAGCATCTTTAATGGAAGTAAACTAAATGGATAAACTAAGATATTTTTTGTGGGCCCCAAGTGTTTTGTAGAATTTAAAAAATTTATAGTTGATTTGAATAGTTTTTACTTTAATGAATATTGTCTATAAGAAATCAAAATTTGACCCCATATTTTATATTTTTTATTCAAGTTACCATTAATTTAATGTTGTTGAAATATTTTATTATTAATTGAATAGTTAACGTTGACTATATAATAAAAACGTAAGTTATACAAAATTTTGTTTTAACAACCATGCGCTAAAGTTGTTCTAAGATCAAATTTATAAAGAAAAACATAAAAAAAAATTAATTATCATTTTATAAATCCCTTATACTCATTCTAATTTATCTTTGCTTATCTTTAAAAAGAAAAAATTACACCTTATATGTTTTATAATCACTTCGCGGATTTTCAAAAGTTCTTCAGTTTTTAAAAATATATCTCCGGATCCATTCTAATATACACATTTTATTTGTTTTTGAGTTAGACCCCAATTTCACTAATATATTTATTTTAAAAATATATCTTAAAAAAAATTTTAAAAATATATTTCCAAAATCTGTTAAATTAACTTAGTACCGTACATTTCATCTTCTTGAAACCTGATGTAATACAAGTTGAATACATCATGAGGACTTTCATAATAATAATTAGTTTGTTGTAATTAGCTAAAATGGCTCTACATTGCTCAATTATAGAATCATACTCTAATTGTAATTGAACACATCATTAACATGACTTTTACAAAGTAATTAAAAAAAAGACAATAGTCTATCATTAACATGACTAATTGGCACTATAAAGGTGCAAATATGAGTTGATGGAGGAAGTTCAGATAATTTTTTACAATTAAGAAAAAGTCAATTTCTCAAGTTGCCAATTGAACTAACTCCATGCTTTAAGGTCAGTTTATGAGGGAGGAAGGATTCATCCAATCACTAAAAATCAGAGTGAAGGGGTCAGGAATTGGCTATACATGTGTATCTAGCAACGGGTGTTGATGTAATATTAGTTAGCAAATTTAAAATACTGTAAAATTTGAAGATGAACAAACTAATTTGAAGTACTGTTAAATTTGAAGAAGATGAACATGATAGTATTTAATTAATTTAACAGATTCCGGAAATATATTTTCAGAATTTTTCTGGAGATATATTTCCTAAATAAATATATTTATATAATTAAAGTCTGACTCAAAAACAAATGAAATGTCTCTATTAGGGTGTGTCCGGAGATATATCTCCAGAAACAGAGGGTATTTTTGAAAATTAGAAAGAAATCCTAAAAATAAATAAAAAATCCAACAATATATATGGATTATCCATTAAGGATATTTCAAGAGTAAATATGTCTGGCCACAAGGACTAATTCTATTATTAAAACAACTCATACATCTAATTTAAAATAACAATTGAATATAAAAATTAGAGGTATAAAAAGATGTGCATATAAATGACCAATTAAGAATAGTGCATCCAGAATTCAATCAAAAATGACTCTAGTCTTCCATCAATGTACAAGCTTTAACAACAATCATCCAATCTCTTGGTAAAAACAAAACTACAAAGAAAAAAGAGAAAACTATTCCACATTCACACAACTGATTCCCAAAATTCATATTCTGTCTGGTGTTGTATCCTCCTTATATAGACCACTGATTTCGTGTCTCTCCAGTCCATACTTAAAGCTCTCTCTGAAACAGCTTTTCAAAGAGGTACTACAAGTCTTAAATGAGAGAATGTCATAGGATTATAATGGCAAGTTCACTATAATATGAGACTTATTTTGACATTGCACTCGTTGGAATTGGATGATGACTGTAATATATCTGTCATTCATGACAAGGACAAATATGTATGAGAATATATGATTAAATCTATTCTGAAATTTTGTTATCATACCATAGCACCATGCAACAAGTCTACAACAAAATATACTTCTGAAACAGACCCAAAAAAGAGTTCATGTCATGAATCATTGCATTACTCATGCATATATTAAAGAAGGAAAAGCACAAAAGTGTTGCATTACCTGAATAAAAGTAAACGGTTATGCCTATATCGGATGTCCTGTTAAAATCCAAAATTGAATTGTTATGGGCACCACCAAATCGAATGCTCCGTGAAAATTGTTCCTGAAATATACTAGGAAAGAGGAAAAAGAATAATCAATTTTAACTAAGAAATAGAGCAAATTGAGAAAATAACACACTTAAAATAGAAAATCAGAAGAGAAATGTCTAAGAAGAAACAAACCACGAAGGCCCGAACAGTACTGTGCGGAGAACCAAAAAACAGATCCTAAGGGTATGTTTTGAGGACTTATTTTTCTTTTGTATACTAAGGAAGCTATAAAATGTGTCTAAATATAAATTAAATGCGATTGAAATGTTATATAATTATCTATCATGCTATTCTTTCCATTTTAATAAAATCTCAAACATATACTAAAATACAGACTTAGCTATCCAAAATCATCAATCAAAACATATAGCCTAGGGTCTGTTTAGGAGTTTGGAGGGGAAGGGAGGGGGGGACTTTGAAAAAAAAAAGGAAGGATTGAGTGGAAATAATTGAAAGATTTTGGTTGGGAGGATTTTTGAGGGTATGGTTTTGTTCAGATCACCAAAAACCCTCTAATTGGGGGGAACTCAAAATTTGTATTGAACGAGGGTTTTAGAGGGCTTACATAAATTTTCTAAATATATTTTATGATGTTATAGTATTCTGAAAATTAAAAATATAGTAATGATAATAACTCTTATCATTCTATACAAAATCATTCTTTTAAAAAATATCAAATATTTTTCTATATTTTTTTAAAAATTCGTTTTCGGAAACCTTCTCTTCCCCTCCCCTCCAAACTCCCAAACCAAACAAAGCCTTAAGGTACAAAAGAAAAATCAGACCACAAGACAGCAAAAATTAACATGGAATTGGAAGGGAGCGCTTCTGGTAATATACAGGGGAAAAGACAACACTGTCAATTTAAAAATTTATATGCATATACATGAAGACGATATAAGTCAAAAAGATGCATTACTTGGGGTCCTGCAACATAATGTAAAGAATACCAAAAGATACTATACAATGGCTATGATCAAGTAATAGGACATTTTTGGTCTAGAAAACATGAAAACAAAATTTAGCATCATTCTTGTTTCAAAGCTTCTGGCAAGAGATGTTATCTTAAATTAATTACCTATTACTGTGCAGGTGTTGCAGCTCCCATGATTTAACATCGCCATCAATGTTCAAACTGCAATTGCTGAGAATAACCAACAATCTTCTTAAGTAGAGGGATGAGACCAATCAAAGCAATTTGAAGCTGTTCTGAACTATTTAACCGAATGCTTATCTGTCCAGCCGCGCGATTGTTCAAATTGCCTCGCGCAACAAGGTTTGTATTCCGTCCAATGGGAATTTGTGATTGTAAATTGCACCCAACAGCAACATCCCCGTGCCAATCCATAACAGAAAGCCCAAGCGCTGATAAAGCGCGACCTAGAGGGTAATTCTTATCTCTCAAGCGGGCCTCCAAACTGCCACCATAAGCAACATCATCATGCCCTGTCATTGCACCACCAGCAATAACAATCTCAAATTGCTTATTAGCAATCAACTTGTCTTCAACTTTAACTCCAGCTGACAACGCATCACCCAAGAGGGTAAATGAAAGACCTGCAGTTGCTTTGTTTCTCCTAAAATTACAAAATTTTGTCTCACTGCGTAATGTGTAAGCTAAGTCTTTTCCAACAGTCTGCATATCAAAACCTAATGAAGTTGCTTTCCCTTCTCCATACTTAGCTGAACTAGCTATTTCCATCTGAACATTAGCATCCTTTTTATCCTTGGTAACTTGACCACTAAAAGACAAGGGCAACTTGTTTTTAAGAACAAACAATCTCTCTACATTTAAGCCTTCATAACCCACATCATGATCCCAACCATGAGTTTCTAGGACAGGTCTTACAAGCCACTGGTTGGATGAATCAAGAAAACGATACCGATGAGTGGGAGTCTCAGAATCAAAGGAAGCAGGCAAGGACATATCTGGCATGGGAACAGGAACAGAAGCTGTATCCCCACTTTCTTCCTCGACATTTTTACTATAATCACTTGGCATATCTTTTAATGATTCTGCCATTTTCTTCATTATCTTTCGTTGTTTTTTCTCATCCTTTAGTTGTTTCTTCATAAAGAGCTTTTCTCGGTACTCAATCTCATCCAGATATGCTTTCTTCTGAGCTCTAGAAAGGTTTCTAATCTGGGCCTTTGTCAAAGGTTTAAATGGCGGTAAGTCATCAGGGTCTGTTTCATCACCAGAATCTGATGGCTCGTCAAGACTGTCCTCATCACTGAATTGCTCCTCAGGCAACTTTAACTGCGGTCTTGACTGCAGAAGGGATGAAAGAAGATATGGTAATGGTAGCCCTCTCGAGCGAGCTGTGTATTGCTTTTCCGGTGGACTATCTTGTAACTTAAGAAGAGCATTTGCTTCAGCCAGAATTTTTGATGCAAAAGATAAGAGTAACAGATGTGGTTTCCAAACCAAACCATTAGGCAACACTCTTTGGCCGGACGTATCAATTCTGCATGCAGAGTGGTTCTCCACCAACGATACAGGATTCACGAGGCGCATATCACCAGCTGCTTGACGAATGGCTTGCTGCACAACATGAGAGCGCTGTGTGACAAACATGTCATAACTAGAAGGAGCACCATTAGGGCCATCAGGTGGTGCAGATGCTGCATGAGTCAATCCCACGATAGCATTGAACCATATGGATGGTCCAAAAATGTCAGTAATCGTGCGCAAGAGCGGCATATCACTAAAATCCCGGCTCGGCGTATCTATTCTATCAAGATACAGCACAATATCGGGTGGTGATTTTTTAATAAAGCGCTTGACAGAGTGCAAGATCTTCACATTATGTCGCTGGTCTGACCAGGAAGGTAGAAGTCCTGGTGTATCAATGACTCGGACTTTAATGCCCTGTACTGTTCCCACAACATCCTGAACCTTTTTTGTTCCCATATTAAAAGCATCGGTATTAAATTTAACTTCATCAAAGATAGAATTGATAGTTGCACTTTTTCCAACTCCTGTCTTTCCAATAATCATTATTGTACAAGAGAAATCAAGCAGTTCTTGACCCGCTGATTCGAGTTGCTCGGCCATTGCACTTGCACGATCAAAGCTAAATGCGCCAACACGCCCCCCATTCCTCCCTCTGAGCTGTTCAGCCAGTCCTAATCTATACAAAACTTGTGCTACAACAACATTGTGGGGAGTCTGCCCGAACCTATTAGCCAACCGCAAAAACTTCACCCTAATCATTTGAAGTTTTTCTCGAGTCTCGTCATACTCCTCAGCCTCCACAGTTGAGGAATCTTCCACTTTTTGGGACTGCGTATTAGATACAGTATAATTCGCCCGCGCCTGCTGCACTACTCGGGGAGCAGGTTTCAATAATGGAGCTGAAGATCCAAGGCCAGCAGGATGAACAAGAGGGGTGCTAATAGCAACAGATTTTCCAGATGAGGAAACAAACTCTCTATTCTGTTCTTGGGTGATCTGGGTCGTTTGTTTCTCTTTCCTATTATTCTCAAGTATCTTTTTAGGTTCCCCAACAACAGATAAGTTTTCATTATTTCCTTGACTTTCTTCATTAGAAACCTTAGATCTGTAAACATCCATGCTTTCTTCTTCTGAATTAGTTGCAGTAGTCTGCACAGCCGGCACCTCAGTAGCAAAAGAATTTTCTGATTGGGATGAGCTTCCAGTAGTTTCAATCACTTTTCTTTCATCTACAACCGGAGAAAAATCTCCTATTTCACCAATTGTTTCCATATCCTTAGTTTCATCATTACCATAATCTCTGCATTCAGTCATCTGAGTATCAGATATTCCCATTTCTTTGCCATCCGTATCCCCGTGGCTAATATCAGTGCCAACGGTCTCATCATCCATTTCTATAAATATTTCACCATTAGGTTCTAAATCCCCATGAGCTGAACTATTTTGAATTTCACCACAAGGGTCACTGGAAGCATTACATTGTTCCTCTATTTTGTCATCCCTGAGATTGGGATCCAAACCACCCTCTTTCAAATACCCGGCATCAGCACCCTGGTTTCTCATATCCTCAATGGATCCAGATTCTGTATGAAACTCAGCAACATCATAATCCACCTTGTTTCCATTTTGTTTAGGAGTCATGAATTCAAGATCGTCATTTTCATCCTTCCCACTTAATAAACCAGAGTTTCCATTTCCAAAAAGCAGAGCACCATTTAGTTTGGGAGTCATGAATTCAAGATCGTCATTTTCATCCTTCCCACTCAATAAACCAAAGTTTCCATTTTCAAAAAGCATGCCACCATTTAGTTTGGGAGTCATGAATTCAAGATCCTCGTTTTCATCCTTCCCACTCAATAAACCAAAGTTTCCATTTCCAAGACGCATACCACTATTTAGTTTGGGAGTCATGAATACAAGATCCTCATTTTCATCCTTCCCACTCAATAAACCAGAGTTTCTATTCACCAAGCCTCTGGCCTCCTGAAAAGCCACACTTCCATCCGTGTTTAAATCAGCTATTTCCTTTCCACCACTAAAATCACTACTACTTTCCAAACACCGATCATCAAGCACATCCTGATTAGCAACCACTTCAACTTCCATCTCATCCTTCAAAATTTCGACGCGAGCATCTGCAACCTCAATTGCCTCATGAAAATTATCAAGTTCATCTGCTTTATCACGCATTTCATCAACCAAAGCCAAAGGCAATGCAGTAACAGTATCAGCAACATCGCCTTCACCAACAATATCATCAACCTGATCATTGAAATGTTTAACCGGGTCTATAGCCTCCTCAAAAACCTCATTTCTTTCCAAATTCTTCAACTCATTATACCCCCCAACACTCTCTTCATTCACCCCAACATCCAACATCTTCTTTTCTCCCTCAATATCCATCACAAATCTCTAATTCCTTATAAAACCCTAAATTTACCACACACAAAAAAGAAATCAGAAATCATTTTATAACAATAAGTATGAAACGTTGATGATACCTTATGCAACATAGAAATCAAATAAAATCAAATAAACTGAAATGAAAATGAAGTTAAAATTAAATTAAATTCATAGAGTAGATTAACGGAAAATGCGAACCTGTTTATGCGGAGAGGTGTAAAATATGATTCAGTTTAAGATGAACGGATAGGGTTGATTTTGGAGTTTAGATCGAAAGTAGAAAATGGAGCATAAACATGATCGAGAAAAATGGCGCAAAAAAGAAGATTAATAATTAATTGCGGTAATTAGGGGGCGTGAAAGAGGTTGTGTTTCACGTGTATAATGATGTGATTTTGATCACGGACGTTCACCTAATCAATTGTTTGGTTAATGGTGAAAGTGAATGGAAGTAAAATTAAAAGAAAGAGATTGGGATATTTCTTATTTGTTTCATACAAGATAGAAAGACGAAGGAAATAACTATAGTACACATTTTCTTCTTCTCTTATTTCAATGAATAAAGAAATACAAATTATTATATTTTTTAATGAGATATAAAATTACTTGAATACTTTTAAATAAAAACAATAATATTGTGATACATTATACAAATAAAACATATCAACTTGATTGATTATAGAAGATAAATTACAACTGATATTTGTAGTTGAAGAAGAGCGTAAACACTACAACCTATAGGATTAAAGCCTCCAATTGATACCTACCTAACAATTAACAAGTTAGTTAATGAAGTAACTAACTTGCAACTTCTATGGTATCTCATTGGGTGTTATCTTCCACAAACTGGAGGATCTATGTTGATTATCACTAATTTAGATAAAAGAAGATGAAGTGGTTGATGAAGAAGTGGTTTAGAGAAGAAATTGATAATTTGGTATTTGCAAGATACATACATCAATTTGAAAGAACCGTCTTGAAGCTCCTCTTGTACAAGATGACAATTGATTTCTAAGTGTTTGGTACGTTCATGGAACAAATAATTGGTTGCAAAATGAATACCAATGAGTTATCACAATATATGACAAGTAGTTTTGCTGATGGAATCTTGATGTCATCAAGGAGATACATGAGCCATTGTAGTTCATATGTTATTGTAGTCAATGCCCGATATTCATATTCTAATGAAGATCTGGAGATGGCTAATTCTTTCTTCATGTGTCATGATATCAATGATTTGCCTAAGAAATAGCATTGGCCTGAGATTGACCTTCTTATCTCTTACATCCCGTTGAACATGTGATTCCACACATAAGAGGGAGGAGATTATGAGGGTTTAAAAAACAATTGTTTAAAACAAGAATATTTTTATTTTCAGACTTTAAAAACATTTTTAAGAAAACGTTTGAATAATAGCAGCGAACATGAGGTTATTACTTTTGCAAGTATCCCTTAGAGAACATCATTGGAAGATGACAATCAAGGGTAAGGAAAATGTCAAAAGTTCAAATGAAGAGATTCAAGTTTAAAAGACCAGCATAAGAGAATCAATGTTTAAATAAAGAATGAAGGAAAATTAAAGATTGTCTCATTCAAAATATTATTGGAGATATTTCTAAAGGAAATACATCTCAACATTCCATTAGTAAAGACGTTTTTGATATAATACAAATTAAAACTAAAAGATAGGAGAGCTTCCTGAAATATTTTAGATGTACAAGAAGAATTCGTTACTCGATGGTGTTTGTCTAAATGATATTTATTGTGAGTGCTACTTTCTGTTAGGTGTACATTGAATGATGCCAAAACTAGGATAGTGTAACGTTAATATATATTGGACGGTATCCTCCTATTCTATACGAGCATCTTAGTATTATGAAGAATTAATCTAGTTTGAAACAGGAGTTTACATCATACATGAATTGAAAACGAGGTTTTCGTGAAAATGCATTGAAAAATAGGTTTTCGTGGAAGCAATGCATCTTAGGTCGACCTATAGAAGTTTAAACTTCAGTATAGGTCGACACATAGCCATCTTAGGTCGACACACATGCCTCAATAATAAAGCTTGTAGTCACTGCCTTTATGTCGCCTCACTTAGGTTGACACAAGACCTTCATAGGTCGACCTGAGACCTTCACAGGCCGATTTGATAGACCGACCTATTGCTTTAACAGGGTGACACATACGATGTCCTTTCTTAAAATTCTATTTTTCCTCCATCCATTTGCATTCCTTTTGCTTCATATCTCTCATACATATATATTCACAAACATGCATCATTTTCTAGTAAGGTACTAATGTAAAACCTAAACAAAACCAGAATTACAAAGTAAACTCATCATCTTCAACCTCTCTTCTATGCATACACACAATCAAACTACCCATAATCATTTTTTGATTGGGTGACCATCTAGATTAGGATTGATAACATCCAATTAGGTTGGTGTAACCGAGAATATTGAGTTGGGTTCTTTCTATGTTTCAAATAAGAAAACCAGGTTGGGGTTTACCTTCAAGATCATTGATGATTTGAAGGTTTTGGACAAGATCACGCCAGTATAGATTCGATCAAATGAAGGCCTTGGGACAAGGTAGGTGGTACCTTGCAAGGGAGTAACATCAGACGGTGGATCGTGTTTGTGAATCTTGGATTCAATAAGTGTGTGCTTGAGATTAATTTGACCAAGCGAAAACGTTGAGACTAAAGGTCTTGCAAGTAACAAGAGATGATGGATTGAAGCAACATTGTTGGTGAATTGATCACTTAGATCAAGGGTTTGAAGGTGGTAGAATCAATAACAAAGCATCAAGTTTTTAGGGTTAGATTTCTTCATCTCTTGTATATACATTTTCAAAGTACAAAGTAAACTCATCATCTTCAATCTCTCTTCTATGCATACATACAATCAAACTACACATAATCATTTTTTGATTGGGTGACCATCTAGATTAGGGTTGATGACGTCTAAGTAGGTTGGTGTAACCGAGAATGTTGGATTGTAATCTTTGAATGTTTCAAATAAGAAAACCAAGTTAGGGTTTTTCTTCAAGATCATTGAGGATTTGAAAGTTTTGACAAGATCACACAAATACGGATTCGATCGAGTGAAGGCCTTGGGACAAGGTAGGTGGTACCTTGCAAGGGAGTAGCGTGAGATAATGGATCGTGTTTGTGAATCTTGGGTTCAACAAGTGTGTGCTTGGAATTAATTCGACCGAGCAAAAACCTTGAGACGGAAGGTCTTGCATGGTAGTAACAAGAACTGGTGGATTGAAGCAGCAACATTGGTGACTTGATCACTTTTATCAAGGGTTTGGAGGTGGTAGAATCAACAATAAACCATAGATTTTTTAGGGTTATAGTTATTCATCTCTTGCATATACATTATTTGCAGAGTACAAAGTAAACCCATCATCTTCAACCTCTCTTCTATTCATACACACAATCAAACTAGACATAATCATTTTTTGATTGGGTGACCATCTAGATTAGGGTTGATAACGTCCAATTAGGTTTGTGTAGCCAAGAATATTGGGTTGGGTTCTTTGTATGTTTCAAATAAGAAAACCAATTTGGGGTTTTTCTTCAAGATCATTGAGGATTTGAAGGTTTTGGACAAGATCACGCAAATACGGATTCGATCGAGTGAAGGCCTTGGGACAAGGTAGATGGTACCTTGCAAGGGAGTAGCGTGAGACGGTGGATCGTGTTCGTGAATCTTGGGTTCAACAAGTGCGTACTTTGGATTAATCCAATCGAGCAAAAACCTTGAGACGGGAGGTCTTGCGAGGTAGTAACAAGAACTGGTGGACTGAAGTAGCATTTTTGGTGACTTGATAATTTTGATCAAGGGTTTGGAGGTGGTAGAATAAACAACAAACCATAGATTTTTTAGGGTTAGAGTTCTTCATCTCTTGTATATACATTGTTTACAAAGTAAGGTTAATTGCAGGTAGTTCAATCTGAATTCAAATTGAAGGCATATGTACCCATAGAGAGAGAGAGAGAGACACACACACACACACACTCATACACACACACAAATATATATACACACACACACACATACAAGACTGGCTTACTAATGAAAGACGCTGAATTCATCTTCGATGATAAATGTTTAAAAGCATTCGAACAATTAAAAACGGCTCTCATTACCGCACCTATTATGCAACCACCTGATTGGAGATTGTCGTTTGAAATAATGTATGACGCTAGTGACTATGTAGTGGGCGCAGTCTTAGGACAAAGAAAGGATAAAAAGCTTCATGCAATTTCATATGCAAGTAGAACCTTAGATCCCACGCAGATGAATTATGCTTCCACAGAAAAGGAACTCTTAGCTGTAGTGTTTGCATTGGATAAATTATGTTCTTACCTAGTAGGAGCAAGGATAGTTATCTATACTGATCATGCCATAATTAGATACCTATTAAGCAAAAAGGACGCCAAACCAAGAATCTTAAGATGGATCCTACTCTTACAAGAATTTGACTTAGATATCAAAGATAAGAAAAGCACCGAAAATGTAGTAGTTTATCACCTTTATAGAATGGAAGGCGTTAAGCCTGAACGAGTGCCTATCAATGATGCACGAGTAGTAATTCGGCTTTTAAAAAACATAATCTTTCCTAGATTCGGTATCCCGAGACTTTTCATTAGTGATGGAGGTTCCCATTTCATTTCAAAGATCTTTGAGAAACTGTTACTGAAATATGGAGTCGGACACCGAGTAGCAACACCTTATCAACCGCAAACTAGTGGGAAAGTAGAGGTTTTAAATAGATAAATAAATAAAATTTTAGAGAAAACAGTTGCCACTTCTAGGAAGGATTGGTCTTCAAATCTACACAAAGCTTTATGGGCGTATAGGGCAACTTATAAGACCCCGATAGGAACCACACTATTCAAGCTAGTTTATGGTAAATCGTGTCATCTGTCGGTAGAATTAGAACACAAATCTTATTGGGCCATTAAGATCCTTAATTTGAATTAT